AGAGACAGAGACAGAGACAGAGAGACAGAGAGAGACACAGAGTCTTGCTGTGTTACGTGCTGGCCCTGAACTTCTAGCGATCTTACTGTTTCAGCTTCCTGAGTGCTGTAATGACAGGCATGCACCACCATGCCTGTCATTACAGGCATGGAAAAGAAAAAAAAAATTTTTTTAAAAAGAATTAAGAGCAAAAGATACTTTCATTGGCAACATAGAGGACTGTGCAAAAAATGTCTTTCCTAGCAGACAAAACAAAGAATGCAATTTAATAATACTGACTGGTATCCATTTAATATTTCCAAAGTTTCTTCACAGTCTTCCTCACTTCACTTTAACATATCCCTTTGATGTTGGTAGTGAGAGGTTACCATTCCATCTTGAAAGATAAAATCAAAGCTAGTAACAAAGTTTGTTCTATTTGATCAGGGTGACGAACCTATGTCATGCATGTTATTGTGTTTTTCTTTTAAGACAAAAGATGTTAATATATGAGTTGTTTTTTTTTCTAAACTAAAACTTCAGTATTCAAATTTAATTGTAGTGTCTGCACTGTGCAAAAAATAAGTGGATTCTGGGTTCTAGTTTGGGTGCTCAGTCTCTAAAAGGTCTGCCCTCATTGTGCTAGATCAATGAAGGTCCCTGAACTTTGAGGTTTCAGTATCCACCAAACTTTGCAGACTTCTTATGTGTCTTTTCATATAAACTCCCTCTGTGGCTTAACTTTCAAGATCTCACCAGCAGTATGCTGTGATGAACAACGTTTTTTCTTATGATACTCCTGCCTCGCAAGTGCTAGGATTACAAGCATGCACACCATACCTAGCAATGAAGTTCTTTTTAAATAATTTAGTTTCTTTGAAAATGACGCGTTTTATGCCAAGAAAACGAACTTTTAGTACTTACTTGTGTAAAAAGTCTGGTTCCGAGCCATGTTCAGACTCAGGTTCTTGCATCTGCTCTCCCAAGGGCCGGCTATTCTCTCGCAGCACAGTGGAAGTAAGCTGTGGGGCTGGGAGGGGGCCGGGAGTCTGAATCATGGTCTCTGTCCTGTTTAGCCATGTGTTATCCAGACTTTCATCTGTAAAATTCCAGTTAGAGTCTCTCAATGTCACAGATGGAGTGAACTCACGGTAGTTATGACATTGACTTGAAGAGCACGGCTTTACAGATACTTCGAATCCTAGTGCTACCAGTTCTTTGTATGACTTTGAAAGTTCCGTTTTCTTACATATAAAATGGTGATATCAATACCTGGGCCTCAGAGTTGTACAATGAAGTGAGGTAATGTATATAACCATCAAATGTTAGGTATCATCACAACATCATGTCTCTTAAGTTTATCCCTGAGGATTTAGTCACCTTAGAAAGCAAAGAATGGGGTCAGGCACAGACCTCTCCAACTTTCCTTTGCTCAAGGAATAACGGGCCTAAAAGTCCAAGGCAGCAGCACTTACGGACTTGTTGGCATTTACAGAGGAATGAGAAAACCCTCTCACAGAACTGGACACCATGGAGAATTAACTCTTTTCTGCTGGCTTATCCATGTGAAGATAGGAGAGTTTCATTGCTTTCATGCCCTTAAGTGCTTCAGGTAAGTCTCCTATGATGATTCTGCCCAGGCCCCATTTACCATTCGTATTTGACTTCCAAAGGAAGTGAAATAATTTCTGCTTACTAAGGATGTAATTATATACTATCTTACATTAGCAGGTAATTTGTCTTGTGTATATGTTATCTCTGTGCTGTAATCAGACTTAAGTTCCTTTAAGGAGCCAGGGACTTCCCACCCCCCCTTCTTCTAAAGATGATTTATAAAGATTAAAGCACTATTTGCACATCTAAAACATCCTGATAAAATAATGTATTAAGTTCCTGCCTATAAAAATTCTGTTATTATGCTAAGAGTTTTACAATTTTCTGAACAATTTTAATCACAAAGTATAGTATGAAAATTGTTTTTTTCTCCTGATGAAGCTCAGAGATGTATGTATGATAGGTATCTTGTATGCCATCAAGCATTCCATCTGTCTCAGTGTTACTCAAGTTTTTTTTAACGTTTTGCCAGACACATGTGGACCTCCTGGATTGGCTTTCTGATCCCTGAAAATACCCATCATTATGTGGTTCTACTGATTTGGAACTCACTACTGAATCTCTTAAGGTGCATTTAATCATTTTCTATTCATAGTACTTTTGACATTTAATTCAAAACTTCTCTTTTCTATACTTCAATTTTATGCTTAAAAGATTGTCACGTAGATTCTGACCCAAAATCATTTGTTAGCTCTTTATTTCATGTCATCTTGTCCCCAAAATCTTCCCTCATTCACTAAAAATTTGGTCACCCATGTATGTTCCCAAAGCCTTCTGTGTTTGCCCTATCATGCTGAACTCCAATTGCATTTTTCTTCTCTGTCTATCTGCACTAAGAGCTCTTTTACTAATTCCTAGTCTGTAGCACTTAACCTGGTTCTTAGGAAGATGCTTGGTAGAGACCTGAACGAATAAATTCAGGAAAAGCTCACTCCTCTTAAATAGGCCCTTGTAACTGCCTAGATTCCTCAGTGAAAATGTTTATTTTTATTTTTTTTTATTTTAAAGAGAGTAACAATAATAAAAAAGAACAATTTGTTAATGTGCTCTTCATCCCAAACAGATGAAATTGCTGCCCAAGGGCTCTAGACAAGCAACCCATTTCAGTTATTTTGTAAATTTCAAAATCACACAGAGCAATTTTTCTGTAATTTACCAATTACCAAATTAACCTGGTCTATAAATGTGTCTGTAGTTTTAAAGATAAAATTGACTTCCTTTAGTGAGTGATACATGGTTATTTAAATTCTCTAAGCCTTAGTTTCTTCTATATAAAATGTGGATGAGTGTTCAATTTAAAGTTGATTTATAAGACATCTATAAAGTATTATATAGTACAGTTGTATTAGCATTAAATAATATAATAATACAGCATATAGTAAATATCTGGTGAATGTTGGCTAATATGAACATCCCATCTAACCTGTAAGTTAAAAAAAGGATGTAGACATGAGGCACCCTGATAGAGGGTGCTACAGAAAATATTTTCAAAGAAACATGAAGTAATTCTTTACAGAAAAGTCTATGAGCCTACAAGTCTTAAAGCTGAAACTTGAAATTTTAAACTCTGTTAAGACTGTTAAACCTTACATTAAATTGACCTCTTTTATTCTCATTAAAAGACAGATGCTGCCTCATCTAACTGATGCTATATAAGAGGCATTACTATATGATCATGGCATTCTGATAATAGCAGCTAACATTTATTGAATGCGACCTTTGGGCTAAATACTGTGCTCAGTATTAAGCATGTACCATGTGTTTTATTTGGAGTATCTCATTTAATATTCACACCCATAGGCTGGGTATTCTTTCATTTGATCAACTATGGAAGCTTAGAGAGGTTAAGTAACAAACTCAAAGGTCATATGGTAAATTAGAAAGCCAGCTTTGAATTGTGAAACTTTTATTTTAGGGTTTGTGCTCTTCATCAGTAGTCAGTATTCCACAATAATGAAAGACAAATTAGACTTAAATTCTAATTAATTGTGCCACATATTTTAGAGAACCTTTGATAAGTCACTTTTTAGGCAGCAGAGGCAAGGTGCTGAATGAAATCTGAGTAAGTTGTAAGAAAGAGCAAGACAGCAGTACTCAGCTCACTGCCACCTTCTCTTGGTTTGGAAAAAACAGAAGTATGGAGAAAGAGATTATTTTAGAAAATAAGCATGCTTACTTTGAGGCTTCTCTAGGTAACTCAAAGAGAAATACTGTTTTAACAGCAATTTTTAGTCTTTTTGGATACAGAATATCTATCATTGACCAGATTTTCATAACCATTTACCTTCCTGTTTCCCATAGTCCAACAGGGTTATCACTGTCTTGTGGTATGAAAATAAATCACCCAACCAAATGATAGAACTAGAAAGCTATTCTGACATACTCAATTTGTTCCCCTCAAATTAGCAGTAGCCTCGTATTAATGAATTTTAATATCATATTTTAAATTCCAGGTGTCAGAGGCATATGGCATAGGGATCAACTCTGTAGCCTTTCCTAACTGCTTCCTCTTTTTCTGTGCTATCTTCTTCTATACTTAATGATTCTTCAAACTCTTTTTTCTTGGCCCTTTTCATTTTATCTGTTTTAAACTTTTTACCTGGATATCTCACTATGTATCAAATGTACAAGGAAATCATGTGTCTAACATTATCTTGCTTCAACAGGTCACTTGCCATTTTACTTATCGCAGGCAAACTATCTCATAGTGTCCAGGCAGAGAGGCAGACTTACCTTCTACTCGTTTTTTGTGAAGTGGGGGTCGTCCTTTCTTATTTCTTACTGAGGAGGTTTTGCTGCTGCTGCTTCCACTGTTCACAGACATTCTATCATCTTCACCCCCAGTGACTAATGAATTCCTATAGGAGATGAGTGGAAGCCATACATCTTCCCTCCTTTCCATCATCTGCTCAGTAAGGAATTTCTCTAGGTATGAATGACTAGAAACATAATAGAAAAAGCAGTGATTTTCATGTTAAGTTGTTCATGTGTCACTTAATTACTTTTTCTTAATCTGAGTCTGCAGATTCGGAAGGACCCTTGGGGCAGACATTAACTGTGCCTGCCTTTGGAAAGAATGACAATTGAAAGTTTTGCTTCCTATATTTCTGGAATCCTTTCCAGAGAAGTGTGTGTGTGTGTGTGTGCGCGCACGCGTGTATGTGTTTATATGTTCTTTCCTACATTTCTTCCTTTGCTTTTATGCACTAATGGGGAAATAAAGATCAGAAATTTGGCTGTAAAGATTACCGAGTTTTCTTTAAGGTGTTCAGATCAGGGCAGGAACTGAAATGGTGAAGTGAGGATGCTGGCATACCACAGCAAGTATCTTATCGATAAAATTTATAAAAGATAGTATGTATATTAAATGGAGAAGAACGTGTACTAAATCTTGGTAAGAACAAGAGTCACAACACATTTAAACCACAACTTGTTTTCTTCCCTTGTTCCCTCTCTCTGCTGTGGAAACTGCTCCAGGCAGGTGGCCAAGAAGGGGGCTCTCCTTTTCCCTAGCCCTCAGTCTAGGGCTACCCTGAAAGGAAGGAGCACAGCATTTACTTTCCTTATCACCCACTAGCCCTGTGGTGCCGAAGCTCTATTGTGAGCAATAGCTCAAGAACAGAACAAAAAACAAAACAAAACAAAACAAAACAAAACAAAACACCGAGGTTCTTTTTGCCCATCTAGCCCCAACTTACAGGGTAGAAGTTCTATTCTATGCACATCATGGTGAGAATACTAGGGCTCTGAATGCCTGTATTTTAACTCCAAACATAGATAGGGGCAGGCTAAGAGGCAGAGGTTACCCAGCCTTTTCCTGCTCTAAGAGCAGGGGTCTTATTCTGGGAGAAGGATGCTGTTCCATCCCATTCCCCAACCCCTAGTCCCTCTTCAGTGGCATAAATGTTAAAAGTTATGCCCAGGGGCTGAAGCAAAGTAAAAAGAAGCTTATAGCTGTGTTTGTGAGGTTGAAGAGAGTTTACAAAATTCCTTTCCAAAAGGTCTTGTTAAAAACAGTAGAGATCATATGCCTGTAATCCCAGCACTCAGGAAGCTGAGGCAGGAGGACAAAACTCAAAAACAACAAGGCTTCAGAAGGACAGGGAACACATATCAAAACTAGGTAAATAATTATTTCACAATATATGCTATATTATCTAAAATGTCCAGTTTTCAAGAAAAATGTACGAGATATGCTAGGAAACAGAGAAATGTGATATATACATTAGAAAAAAAAATCATTGAATAGGAAGTTGGCCTACAAAATTTTTAAAGTAAATCCTCCATCTAAAGAACTACAAAAGCGATATCTAAAGAACTGAAGAAATTGTGATGACAGTATCTTATGAAATAGAGAATATGAATAAAAAGAAAACAAAAGCACCAAAATGAAGTTGTTTTTGTTGTTGTTATTTTTGGTGTTGAGGATGGAGCCCAGGGATTTGTGCATGCTATGTTCTACTACTGAGCTACACCCACAGCCGCCAATGGAAATGAAAAGTACAATAACAGAAACTAAAATACACTACACGGGGTCAACAGTAGGTCTGAGCTAGAAAAAGAATCAAGCTTGAAGATGTTACTAAGGGATTATGCAATGTGAAAAAAGAAAAAAGAAAGAAGAATGAAGAAAAATGAACAAAGCCCAAGAGAAACGCGAGACGTCATTAACAGCCCTGACATTTACAGTAGGAATACCATGAAAGAAAAGAATAGGAAAAAAAAAAGAAAAAGAAATAATGACTAAAACTTCCTGAGTATGAGAAAAAAATATTAACATAAATCCACAAAGGTCAATAAACTCCAAACAAATGCAAAAATATCCACATACATTTATCACTGGAAAAATGCCGACAGCCATATATTAAGAGAAAATCTTGAAAGCAGTAAAAGCAACGCATTATGTACAAAAGAAATTCAACAAAATTAAGATCAACTTCAACAAAATTAGACCAACTTCTCATTAGGCAGCCAGAAAGCTTCAGGGAGGCCAGAAGGCAGTGTGGAATGACACAGTCAAGTGCCAAAAGTAAAAGCAAGGAATTTTTTACTGTCAAGGGGATAGAACCCACGGCCTTGTGAATACTAGACAAGGGCTGCATTGTCAGCCCTCAAATAATGATTGTATACCCAAGGTAACTGCACTGCAAAACTAAAGAGAAAGTAAAGACATCCTCAGATATACAAAAGCCGAGCAATTTGTTGCTAGAAAACTTGCCTTAGAACTATTAAAGAAAGCTCTTCAAGCTGAATGCAAATACCAGAAGATAATCTGAATGTATATGAAAAAACAAAGAATGCCAGTAAAGGTTAACTATTACTTATCCTTTATTTTCTGAATTTATAAAGCAACTGCACTATTGTATTATTGGGCAATAACACACTATATCATTGGGCCAATAACAAATATTTCATAATAAGCAAAAAGAGACAGGCAGGAGAAAAGCTATATTACACTAACCAAATGATGATTCAAATCTACAGGAAGAAATGAAGAGAACCAGAAATGGTATAAAGGAAGATTAATATGACAAAGCACATAAACATATATGCACTTTCTTTTATTTTCTCAGTTTTTTTGTTTTTGTTTTTGTTTTTCCAGTACTGGGAATCGAACTCACGACCTTGTGCTTGCCAGGCAGGCACTGTGCCACTGAGCTAAATCCGCAGCCCCCTATTTTCTCAACTTCTAAAGACTGTATCAAATAGTAATTTTATCACTGGGCTTGTAACATAAATAGATATACTATGTATAACTATCACAAAAAAAAGGAAGAAAATGGAGTTATACTGAAGTAGAATTTTTATACTTCCTTAGAATTGAGTTAGAATAAATCTGAATAGGTCAGAGATATAGCTCAGTGGCACAGTGCCCGCCTGGCAAGTGTAAGGTCCTGAGTTTGATTCCTGGTTAAAAACAAAACAAAACAAAACAAAACAAAACAAAACATAACATAAATGCACGTCCCCAAAAAGGAAAAAAATGGGTAGTACACTAGGCAAAGGATTAACAAGGAAACAGAAGAGTTATATAAAACAGTACAAAGCTGGGCACATGCTTATAATCTCAGTGGTGGGGAGGCTGAGGCAGTTAAGATAACTGCAAGTTCAAGGCCAACCTGAACTACATAGTGAGACCTGTCTCAAAAACCAAACCAAACCAAACCAAACCAAACCAAACCAAACCAAACCAAACCAAACCAAACCAAACCAAACCAACAATACAACTCAAAAAAGAGCCAGGCATTGTGGTGCATACCAGTGACCCCAGCATTAAGGCAGCTGAGGCAAGAGGACCAGACCAGACCAAACCAAACCAAACCAAACCAAACCAAACCAAACCAAACCAAACCAAACCAAACCAACAATACAAAAACTCAAAAAAGAGCCAGGTATTTTGCACGCCAGTGACCCCAGCATTAAGGCAGCTGAGGCAAGAGGACTGTAAAGAGTTTGAGGCCAGCATGGGGTACATGGTGAGTTCATGGCCAGCCTGAACTACACAGCAAAGACCCTGTCTGCCATTAAGCCCCCTAAGTCTCCCTTCCCTTTGAATACACTTATCCTATTATTCTTGCTACTTTCTGCAGCAGTTCTACAAATCTTTTGTGTCTACAAGATATGATAAAAAATACAGTGAACACTGCTACTGAGGGCCATCCAATGGAAAGGCAGTCTTATAAAATCATGTGTCCTCATCTACCTTATTCACCAGATCTAGCACTCTGCAACTCCTCTTGCCGAAGTCAAAACATCTGTGGCAAGGTAAAAATGGCTGAGTTGATGCAGGACATGAAGCAGTAATAGAACTACTAAACACTCAGGAAAGAGGACTTCCAGAACTGCTTCAGAAAGTGGCAAGAATGATGGAATAAGTGTTTTTCAAGCAAGGTGTAGTATGTTGATGGGCATTTGTGACAATGTCTTTTAATATAATACATTAAAATTTAAACATTCACTGTATTTTCCCATCATACTACATATGTTTTTCTCAAGTGTACATGCGTCATTTTCAAAGACAGACCATATGTTGGTCCATAAAACAAGCCTCAGAAAGTTTAGAAGACTGAAGTCAACAATACATAATTTCTTATCACAATACAATGAAATTAGAAATCAGTAACAAAAAGAAAATTTGGAATTTTACAAATTCAGTAGTAAGTCCCTGACTCATGAGCATTTGAGTTACGAACTTTCACAGATACAGTGGACCTTACATTTGGTTTTTTAATACTTTACATTGTATCAAAGGTGTGTAAGACTCACTTTGTCAGGTTTATGAATGAATTCAACTTAACATTCTCCTGGAACGGAACTTATTTGTATGTTGGGGACTTACTGTACGTGAAAATTAAATGAAATAGTCCTAAAAACCTAAATGAAATAGTCCTCAAAAATAGTCCTATTGGTTAAAGAAGAAATAACAACTGAAATGAGAAGAAACTTATGAGAACAGAAATGCAATATAATTCAAAGTCATCTTCAGAGGAAAATGTAGATGCAAAATGTCAATATTAAAGTTTTCAGATTCAAAGAAGAGGGACCAAGGTGGCTGAATAAGATCTTCCAGCAATCACCACAGACACACTAATTTAAACAGCTATTTAAACACTCAAGTGTCTTCACAAGAGCTAAGAAAGTGAGGCAAGAGATCATAATGCCTGGCTTACTATAATTAAAAGATACAGCACAGACAGTTGTGGCAGCAAACTGCCTATGATCCCAGCTACTTTGGAGGCTGAGGCAGGAGGATCACAAGTTCAATCTGAGGCAGGAGAATCAGAAGTTCAAGCCCAGGTTGAGTAACTTAGCAAGACCCTGTCTCAAAAAGTACCAGGCTCAGTGGCACAGTGCCTGCCTGGCAAGCACCAGGTCCTGAGTTTGATTCTGGTACTAAAAACAAAACAACAAAATAAAAAGTAGCTCAGTGTTCCCTGGGTTCAATCCTCAGTACTAGGAAA